ACGAGTGACGAGAGTGTCCGTGGAGCGGTGCGCGTACGCGCAGAAGCAGCGGCTCGGACCGTACGCGCAGGAGCAGTGGTTCGGACTGTACGCGCAGGAGCAGTGGTTCGGACCGTACGTACAGGAGCAATGGTTCGGACCGTACGCGCAGGAGCAGCGGTTCGGACCGTACGCGCAGGAGCAGTGGCTCGGACCGTACGCACAGGAGCAGTGGTTCGGACCGTACGCGCAGCAGCAGTGGTTTTGACCGCACGCGCCATCATTGCGGCATGCTGCTATCTCACGTGGGCAGGGACAATACATGGGGCACTTAACATGATTGCTATCGACTTTCGAACAACAGGTCGACATACGGGACCCAGGTGTAGATGGTCCCTGCCTATCAAATCTCAGCAATCAAATTATTACATGTGCACATTTTCGTTCAGATGCCACATGAAGAGCGGGGTTCTGATCGCGGTGGAGGGGGCGTGATGTGACACGTAGGAGAAAATTCCGGCAGTCAGTTTCAGAGTGTCACATTGATAATCCACCCTGAATTTAAATGAAGATACTTTAAGATTTCAATCACTGGTTGCAACGCACGGAAAGGTTTTGATACACACAGTTACGTATGACACAGACATGCTAAGTTGGAATACGGCATGCCAATGAAAAGATACAGTATATATATATATATATATATATATATATATATATATATATATATATATATATATTTATATACTCCAAGCTAGCATAACTAAATCTACACAGGAGCCAACGACGAACGGTTATCCAAAAGTTCAAGTGGTACTGACGCGATGTTCGCCATTGACTGCTAACCAAATAAAAATGGAAATGCATGCTGTTGCGTCCGTTACAAGCGTGAAAATTACTGTCTTTCAATGCGTTGAAAGTCACAGCTTTTATGGATATTTATGTCATTTGATGACGTCATTGCCAACTGATGACGAGTGACAGGACGCCTAAGACAAACAAATGGGCGCACCGACACTGTAATCGCGCAGACGTCTGGTATCACGTGGCATACCACAGGAACAGTAGTGTAGCAAACCCGACAACACACTTCAATTGCAGAGTCAAAAAGGCTTTAATCATTCGAAGAGAAAGTTGAGCTACCTGCTTCTTACAATGATGCTATGGTAGTCAGGTCTGCCGCAAGTATGGTGGGTTCATGACGTCACTGTCCTCCTTAAATATCTGGGAAGACAGGCCATCACCCGGCCCCCGGCGATCGGTTAATTCCAGTCGGATTTGGGGGCGCATCACTCGTGAAGCCAATCTGACCCTGGGTGAGCAGGACCCGGTGTCACAGCTGTGGCCACGCTAACTGGCAACTGACCACAGCCAGATGCTAACGCCAATGCAGCTCAGCCGCCACTGACCACAGCCAGATGCTAACGCGAATGCAGCTCAGCCACAACTGACCACAGCCAGATGCTAACGCGAATGCAACTGAGCCACAACTGATCCCGGTCAGATGCTAACGCGAATGTAGCTCAGCCACAACTGATCCCGGTCAGATGCTAACGCGAATGCAGCTCAGCCACAACTGACCACAGCCAGATGCTTACGTGAATGCAGCTCCTAAAAAATGTGTTACAAACCTTTCATTGGACGGATGTGAGCAGCGCCCATGCAGAGCGAGGCGTGCTGCGTGAACTTTGACCCCGCCACCCGATCGTGCAATATCGGGTCGACGAAAATTAAACGTCGTCGCCATTTTTAATTGCGACGAAAATTACACTCGCCGGACTGCTCGGCACATCCAGTTTAACCCTCCGACGTCGCCTGACCTTTAGCGCGGCGGCTGCCACCGGCCGCAGGCCATCCCAGCTAGGGGCAGACAGCGTGGGCTTAAAGGGACTTGAGCCCATCACGCTACAGACGGATTCATCCCAAGACAGGTGCTTTGACTAACTAGCGACCGGGACAGAAAAAAGAAATAAAAATGATCATCGGCACGGAAAAAAATCTAAATTTGTGGCAATGCGCATGAGCGTGCAATTGTATAGTTCCATGCATGGCTATGCGCATGATGAAAGCGCAAGGAATAAGATCACGTCCAGTTCACGTGTTCGTTCAGACCACGTGCTCAGATGACATTCAAATCACGTGCTCGTTCAAACATAATAGTTACGCGGTGTCCTGAAACAACAACGAGCACAAAAACAATGTTGCAATATTGTGGATGTTGGCATGGGTCTAACCAACAGCGGGGTTGACAGGCTCCGGGTCGTAGTCACTTTTGGCAAGACTAGCCTGTTTTTATATTTTGACCATAAAAACACAAGTCAAGGCCGACTGGACCACAGTAACTCTTAACAGCTGGTTTCAACCCCATGCACTGGGGGCACGAACGAGTGCCGATTCAGCGCGACCACGGAACGGGTCGCGGAGCCCAACGCGAGGCGGGCTCGGCGTCCCAGGTCTAGCGGCCTCGCGTCGCCGGCTCTTCCGAGAAACCCCCACGCGGCCACGTTGGTGCCAAGCCAAGCAGACCGGCCGCCGACGTCTGTGGACACAGCCTGGCCGGCCTTGCTCACAGCGAGCGGTGTTTTCCTCCTCTGACGTCATCTGCTCGTTATGCGGACAGAAGCGGAAGTCTAAACCTGCCCAGCGCCACCACAACAAACCACCGTCGGTTTGCTTTGCCGCGCATCGCTAAGGTTCTAAGCCTTCCTAACGCTTCAACGAAAGCAATTGTGGCCAAATTTCAGAGTTATCGCTGTCCTGTTCCCTGAAACGCTTCGGGAACAACTTTAATTCAACGGGCACGCGACCATCAGCACGGCACGGATGACAGGAGCCAGCTGTGCCACGGCGGCGGCTTCAGTTCATTGACCTGGACTTCAACCGGCGCGGTTTCACGGTCGAGACACCTATGACCCAGCTTGACATGCTTTGAATTTAAGCGTATACCAGTCATCCGCTGAAACCTATGCTCTGAATGCAGAAAACTGCGCGATGTGACGTTAAGTGTGAAATGTGAATGTGAGCAAATGTGACAGCAAGAGTCGGCTATGCCGTGTGAATTTTGGAGGTTGTTTAAAATTCACACACAAAAAACGCCCCACGCCCCATTAGTATGAGCGCTTTCCCGAGTGAAAGCAATTTTGGACCGTTGTTACGCCCAACTTGATAGCAAAACACACCGAGACACTTCGTTTCGCAACAGTCATGACTATGCAAACAGTGCTCAGGAGGAGCCACATAATATGTGCCTGAAAAGGCACAGAAGGACGTTGAACGCCCCAGCATACTACTCCTGCAATCGAGATGGTACAAGGGCGGTGCCATTGCAGCTTTCAGACAGTCATGAGCACAAAATCGGTCAGGCGTTTCCTCCGTCCTACCTTTGAAGCACCTGCTTGGAAATTGGAGCGCACATCAAATTAGCATTAAAGCACAGGGCTGCCCATTTGCATTTGATTGTTTCCGTGTTCATTTGAGTGCGTAAACTAAGCGAGCCTCTGCTATACGGAAACGTTCATGCAACGCAGCAATCCGTCAGCCCGCGGCATATCATTTCTTGCAAGGCCAATCATAATGCGGAGTTCGATTACCACTCAACATTTTAATTCAATGTTCTAATGACCATCAGGTTCAGCACCTAACATCTGGCATAATCCAAATGTCCATGGATCGACTGATTACTGCCTGCCGCTCAAAATCCCTCAGCTGTTGTCTGACAATCGCGCATTACCCCCGGGCGCTGAGACGCCACCGCACAACTCGCTTGGCGCAGCGAAGTGGCAGCGTTACGCCACCGGGTCGAGTTCGCGGAAAGCACCTGACCGTTCAATCTCGCGTACCGACTGACCCCGGCAGCCCTGGTGCGGGCTCCGAGGAGGCTGTGCGTCACTCGCGCGCCGTGGCCCTGGAGCGAGCTCTGGAGCGCCGACCGGGGACGCTGGGGCCGTCAGCACCGGGAGGAAACCGGCACTTGGCGCTGATTGGCGGACCGGCACGGAAGCGACCGGCTCGCGCGGAAGAGTCGAGCACAGCCGAGGCAGGTCACCAGCGGAGGTGATCTGGATCGGCTCGCGAGGCGGTGATGCGATGCCCAGAAATTGCACTACGACACACGCTGATCGGGCGTCATTCGCCTCAAGGACAACTCGTACGCGGTACGATGTCTACCACAAAAAACCCTGCGGAGGTTACTATGTGATCGACGTGGAAAAGATCACGCCGAGGTCAGAAATCCGTTGAAAAGGGGAGTGATCTAGGAAAGTCACAGTTTGGATCGCCGTCAGCACACGTGGTGTCAGCCAACCGCCTATCCCACATGGGAGTGCTGCACATGGGGGCGCGCACGACACGCGGTGCATTCGAGGTCTGCCAAGGTGCATGCGGAACACTGGTTACAATAAGATCGTCATTCTCTGGCCTTGCATGATGGCAGACCACAACATGAAAACTGTCCTGGGCTGCTCTCGAGTGCGGCAAGATTTCCTACGCTCTAACGGCTCAAATCCAACAGGGCGTTTGGGGTCTAGTGGATCTAGACTTTGTCGGCTGTCACATAATATGTTGAAATTACGAACTAGCTTCCACGCACATACTATAGTGATCTCCCAGTTGTATGGGCGTAGGCGAAGACAAAATAGCTTGAAACACCCACAGCAATTGCTTTCCACTCCGTGAAAAACATGCAGCAAGGCATGGTGACGATGGGACATATTTATGAGTACCGCAGGCCAGAGTTGAACTATCTTCGCACCGTATCAGATCGATCAAAAGCACTAGCGTCAACACTGAGGGTGCAAAGCCTACGCTCCCACAAACGGAACTGAAGAACAATCTTAAGCATTCAACCGTGCAGGATGTCCCAATTAAGCATTGCAAAATGAGGCATCGCATGTTTTCAAAAATCGCCATCAAACAGACTCGTTATCCTATCACGCAGAAACAACTTA